CAATTAAATTTATCGACTTCTCTTTTGTACACGTTGAAGTCGATCTGCCGATAGTGTAGGTTTATTATCGGTAAGAAGCCAGCTGGCAGTTTGCTTATGCATATATTTTTCATTTCCGTCTACATTAATACGAAAGTATGAATTCGATTGAGAAGCAGGAATTTCCTTGAAGATTCGTAATCCTTTAAATTGCGATCTTTTGTGACCAGAGTTATTTGTTAGTTCATCAGCTTCATCCTCTGAAGAACTTTCCGAAGTTACATCATATTGATCATGAACATTATCTTCTTCTGAATCTGATTCATCATCGGAATAACCGTTCCAATTTTCACTAAAATCAGTAGTATGAGAAGTATTTTCAATCTGAACTCGTACATATGTACTCAGTTCATTTAAAGCGTTTCGATGTTCTCTTACTAAAATTACGTCAATACCAAGTACAGATAACATCTTATAAGCATCATCAAAAGCACGATGGATGGTTTTCTCAATCGTATTTTGTGTTAATATGTTGTTAGAAACATCTAAACGATTATTTATTGACATATCTTTTCTGTGACGTCGCTTATGATGTTTAGGAAATTGTAAAGAACATTCTGATAGATTATGTTCATTTTGTCTTTCAATATCTTGTAATACTGAAAGTTTACCAGCTCGTCGGAGAAATTGTCCGACAGTAAAATTCACATTTGATGAGAATGTCCCAGACATTGCTCTTGTTAGTCTGAATATATTTTCGCATATCTGTGAATTAAAACTTGTTATAGATAGAGCAGATTCAGGCAGATCATGCTGACAAACAAGAAGAACAACTGATAGTAATGTGTGTGCATTGATTTCAATAGAATGATAAGCAGCTTTTGTAATAAAGAAAAAAGCTTTATTTTTGTCCTGATATTCGGTGGAAATTTCTTCCACATCAGTTAACTGCAACCAAGCCCACCAAAGTCGGCAAATGAATACTGTAATCCAACTATGATATATTCGATCAAGAATTGATGTACTTTGTTCAATATAAGCTAGTATAATACTACGCACAAGACGTAAGTAAATTTGTGTGGCATAAGAATCAGAAACATTATTGAGAGCAGATAAAACATCATCAGTTGAAATTTTAGCACATGAACTGAAGTTTTGTCGGTCTTTTGGATAGACATCCGTTTTTACTAATCCATGGATTAGTTTCGATTGGTTGTTAATTAAATCAAAGAGTACATCGACTGATATTTTTCCGTTTCCAATAAACATTGAAGCAGATTGAGAAAGAAGACGATTACGAATCTTGGTGCAGAGGTGTACTGGATCCTGAAAACAAAAAAATAACTGACGTGTTCGCATGAAGAACCATGAAGACCAGTTCTTTGGTAACTTCACTTCTAGCACATCGTTGCGTTCACTTATAGGTATGTTAGGTAGTTTAGCAAAAAATCCTGTAATGAGACGCATAGCGCGTAAATATTTCGGATCACAGTCAGTTGCGAAAGCAAGAATTCGAATATTCGAAATCCGAGAACGTTCAAATATCCACAGCCAACGACGAAGAACATCAATTGAGTTAAATTTGCTTGTAATTCCATAAGCTCCTAGAAGAAATGAAGTCGACGACGATTTAGATATTGTAAGAAGTTCTAACATATGAACGTTTAAAAGATTTGATTTTTCTTCATTCTCGAACCACTCTTTCAATTGATCATACGAATCAGTTTGAAAAAATTGTGGAACAGGTACTCCATGATCGAGTGGAGTTGAGAATCCTATGAATGTGTTGGTAGATGCATCATATACCACCTTCTGGATCACACCTGTACAATCTTCGGAGCAGACAGCAAGTTGATAATTGTTTGAAATTTGGAGATCGCTGAGAGCATCATATCGAAATTCACCTTCAACGATCTTTCCACCAGCTTTTGTAATAGAACCATCAACCGAAGTGATCGATGGTACTGAACCTGGAAGATTTAGACGAATATATTCGTATGTGTTGCGTCCGCCCATAATATATAATGCTTGAGCAAAATTTTGCACTTTTGTATTATATCGATAATTGTTCTTCGATTTTTTGCTGTTACTGGTAATGTTATTGATCAAGGTATTAAGAAAAGAATTTTTATTTTCTTCCAACGTATCAGAATTTATTAGTGTATTAGATTGAGAAGAATTATCATCAGATGATATTGTAGTTGATT